AGGTCACTATGTTGATCAATATATAGGTGAAAATTGACCCTTTTAGTACGTTACAGTAACAATACCATAGAGACATAATGTCATGTGGACGCTCCTCTTCTGAGGATAACAACATCTTCTGGGCTCAGAAGCAGCTGCTTGACTTGAGTCTGCCATTTTCCACAGGGCCAGAGTTGCTGTACCGAGTGGACTGTTTGACAACCCGCAATGGTGCCCTCTACTGGCTGGTAGATGAAAACATAAACCCAGTGTCATGCCCGTCAAAAGAAATATTTGAATAATTCTAAATAAAGATATAGCTTTTAAAGGAAATCTGCACACCTCTAAACACCCCATGGAGGTATTCTTTTTCAAAATGTAATTTTTTATTAAATTGTTCTGTACTAATCCTTTAATTACATAAAATAAAGCACTTAACTATTGTTTTATATTATATTCATGTGTTGTTTGACTCACTGGTCATTATGACATTTAGAGGGCTCCAGCCTCTCTTATGTTGTTGACAACAGCCTTTTTCAACAGGAAGTCCCACTGTGTAGCTCTCAGCAGCAACACAGAGTTAACAGGTTTCATATTTAGTGGCAAGAATTCACACGAACGCTTTACTATTTTTATAATATAGCTTGTTCCTGACAAGCAGTTTAATAAGCCTGTGTGTCTCTTCTGCTGACATGTTTTCATGTGGAGTTGGTTTGTGAAGGTGAGGCTAATGCTAGCCCCAACCCCCCCTCCCCCCTCTGCTTTGACAGGACCATAATTGATCAAACTGGTTTTCTATTAGAACCACAAAACATCACTGACTTTTTTTTACTAAAAAACAGATCTGTGCCATTCAAAAAGATAAAATCAGAAGGCTGTACTCAAGAAAGAGTAACTCACGCATGGATTTTGTGGACTAAAAGAAACTGCAACACTTCTGTTTAATGAAAATCATGGAATTAGCTTGCCAAATAGATTTATATTGATTACAGTTTTGCTTGATTAATGTCTTCTCCAACAAATTCACACAGTGGCCCTCAGAGTGATTTTTGTGTGGGCCCCATTGCATTTCTAGAGTGATGAGTTTTGTCTCTCCAGCAGAATGTTGACACTTTCTAACATTTTCATAATTGGATATTTTCTAATTTGCCTTGTTTGGACCTATTTTGAGGAGTGTATGTGTGGGAAAGAAATCATCATAGAAAGAAATTTTAAAAATTATATTTTTGTGGCCCACGACGAATATCAACTTAACAATTTTGTCCCTCGTCTCGTTCGACTAGACTTGCTCTAAACAGGTACAGTGACTATCCTGATGGAGTAATAGCTCCTTAAAAGGACTGATCAGTTAGTACAGTACTTTGATTACCAATAGACTGTGTCAAAACCATGATTAAAAGAAAAATGAGTTAAAAGAGCCTTTAACGGATAAAGGTTAGTGTGGTAAATGAAGATCTTCTACAGATTTGAAGTTCTGGAAAGAAAAAAAAACAAAATGGGAAAATATCCAGCTGTAATTACTCGTTAAAGCAGGGAGACGGTGCAGTCAGGTGGAATAGGCCTCGTCAGCACAATCCTGAAAGCTGCTTGCCGGAATTCCGTAACCACCTCCTGTCCACCATCACCAGCCTCTGTTGGAAGCTTTAACCAGCACTGGGCAGGAGGACAACACTCATCAGTCAATCATCATCTATTAGATGTGTCATCCTCAGCCCTAATAACAACCCCATTCAGCATGCTCAGCAACTGCCCTAGCAAACACCAACTCATGACTAATAAGGTTCAACTTTGAGAACTTCTGTTCAGCTCTTTTTTTAAATGTAATAATTTGCCATTTCTTTTCCCTTTTCCTGGGATAATGCCTCAAGACAAACAACCACACCCTTCAAAATCTGCTTTTCTATCTCCGTGGGTTTAGTGAAGTTGCTGATATTAGGAAGTTCATTAGTGTAATTTAACATTGTCTAAAGTTGTTCTGCTCCCTTCCCTCTCCGTTTGGCAGCTAGCTGAGATCTGTCACCGTGATGCATGCGCCGGTAATGAGCTTTCCTTGTTTATGCTTTTACAGCAGCATGTGATAATTAAACTGCAGAGAAGAGTGTGAAATAATAGCTTTGTGTTTACTTTGCACCCTGCTTAAATGCTGCTGGAGTGTGCGTGTAATGGTTGAACACAGACAGAGGCAGATAGGTGCCACTCAGATATTTCCTCTTCAAGTTAAAATGTATATGTTAGAATTAGCTTGCTTACTGTTTTACCAACAAAGGAGTTATTAAAGCTGTATTTAGGTGTGTGTGTGTGTGTGTGTGTGTGTGTGTGTGTGTGTGTGTGTGTGTGTGTGTGTGTGTGTGTGTGTGTGTGTGTCCTGATTAAGAGGATGATGTGATAGTTCCTCCTTAACTGAGTTTTCTCAGATTCCCTGACACCTCAGTAATTACAGCTCTATTATGAGATGTGTGTATTTCTAAGTGTGTGTGTTTGTGTGCGTGTGTTCATGTGAGAATGAGATCCAGTGTCACGACTTGGATGACAATGAAATGAGGAGTCGCTGAATACTGAGTGGTGTTTTTAATCTTTTATGTAAAGAAGGATAAAGCAAACATTTATCAAGATCAGACTGGAACAATGGCAGCCCCTCTCAGTGTCACAGCCTGGCACGCCGCTGGTTTTCAGCTGACATATTTTGTCTTTCATCCAGTGTTCCCGTCAAGCACTCTGCCAGCATGCCATGACACTGATGTTTGAACCCCACACTGAGACCACATTGAGACTGTGTGATGCAACATGTGGTCATCGCTGTGTAGTTTGTTGAAGAGCAAGACTTCCCAACAATAGTCACAAAGACATAAAACCAAGGTTATGTTGTGGGTGAAATGGGGGCGTGTCATGTTAAACAGCGTATTGCTTTATTTCTGCCATCTGGGCGTTTAACCCAGCGGTATTCTCATTGTCGCCGTCTTCCTCCACTTATCCGGGTCCGGGTCGCGGGGGCAGCATCCCAAATAGGGAGCTCCAGATCGTCCTCTCCCCAGCCACCTCCACCAGCTCCTCCGACAGGACCCCAAGGTGTTCCCGGACCAGATTGGAGATGTAACCTCTCCAGCGTGTCCTGGGTCGACCCGGGGGACTCCTGCCGGCAGGAAATGCCCGAAACACCTCCCCAGCGAGGCATCCAGGAGGCATCCTGACCAAATGCCCAAACCACCTCAACTGACTCCTTTCGATCCGGAGGAGCAGCGGTTCTACTCCGAGTCCCTCTCGAATGTCCGAGCTCCTCACCCTATCTCTAAGGCTGAGCTCGGCCACTCGGAAACTCATTTCGGCCGCTTGTATCCGCGATCTTGCTCTTTCGGTCATTACCCAAAGCTCATGACCATAGGTGAGGATTGGGACATAGATCGACCGGTAAATCGAGAGCCTGGCGGTATTCTTTGTTTTGAATTAGGTGCTTATTTAAACTTCTTGTGCTACATGATCTATTCATTCAGGCTTATCAGTTGTACATCCAGCAATTACTTTCTGTAGGTTTAAGTCATCACAACTCTAGCCATTTTAATGTTGGGGAAACTACAAATAAACATTGTCGGTATCAAAACAGTAGCAGGACTTGCACAACTTTCTCCACGCCTTCACAAAATAAGTCTTCAACAAACACACAGCCCTCAAAAGTTTCAATATCTTATTCTTATAAAAATTGCTCACACATTAAAGTCAGAGTGGACCTCCCCTTCATACCCTTGTGGTCTGCAACAATACTATGTATGTAAAAAAAAAAACACAATGAGACAGCAATGCAACAGTCTAGGTTCTCAAACTTGAACCCAGCATGTACGTAACGTATGCAAAGGTAATATTGTGATTTCTTCCCTTAACCCTGTGATAAATATTACAACATTAAAAAAATTACATAAACTTTAAAAGCTGAATTGAGTAGCACTTTAACTAATGCTACACAATTATCTGGTTGAAACCAAGTGGCACTCTATGTACTTGAAGCTGTAAATTACGCCCTTCTGGGTTAATGCAACGTCTCCTTTGCGACGTGATACAATCATAACAGTCAACACAGTTAACAGCACAAATCCTGATGTGTAAGCTTTTGATTCACCGATACCAATTTCAGCACACTTTATTGTTGATTGATACGTCAAACCCCTCACGGTCTGCTTCTGCATCCCAATTACGGACAATTGTGATTGGTGAATCACGACGTGTAAGGTGCGCGAACAGGTAGAGTTAATTTGGCTCCAGCAGTGCAGCTGAACCTGCGATGCGACTATCACGTACACCTACATTGCAATCTTGATGCTGAAAAGTGAAGGCAGCTCGACACCACCCATAAGTGGCCTGTTTTATGAGGTTTTTGTTGCCTCCGTATGCTTGTGAAACCATCCCAAATGTCACAAAGTGCTCAAATTATAAGCACTTGATGAAAAGCACAAATGATGCAGGATTTTTTTTTTTTTCAAAATCATGGGTTCCCTGACAGGCTGGCGTTGTTTCACAGGTTAAAGGTCACAACAACATCATTTTTATCAGCTGCTACCGAGGGCACCGATGTTAAAGAAGTAATTAACATTCTCTCCATAACATTACATATAAACATGACTGTCCTCACCTCTGGATGCCATTGACCTACTTTATATGCACGCCAGTCTTCAGCGGAGAGACAGCCAATTTCTCTCGAGTGTTGGGACAATTCCACTTCCATTTCTCATCCCGGCTGGATATGAGGCTTTTCTTAGACAATTTGGATAGCTCTGTAATTACATTTCAATTATAAAGCAACGGCTGTGTGTGTGTGACACTGATGACAGCAGCTACTAATAGAGAAAGGAGTTCAGAAAAAATCCATCTGTGCTCTTGTTACTGTCACTGTTGCAATAACAAGCTTGTTTTCCTTTTGTAGGCATCGATATTCCTATTTTCTTTTCATTCAACACAGTAGAAAAAATAAAAGCATCAAGCCTGTCTCTGTCCTTGTTTTGTGTAAATATTACATTTTTCTAATATTTTTGCAGAGTCTGTGCATCGCCACATGCAGCATTATGAAGTAGAGTACCTGCAGTTTGCCTTCCGCTGGATGAACAACCTCCTGATGAGGGAGCTGCCGCTACGGTGCACCATCAGACTGTGGGACACCTATCAGGTACAATCACACAAATGCACAAGGTTACTGCCACTAAGCTTTTTATTGCATTTTCTTTTCTCTCACTCTCACTGTGAAATTTCAGGCAAACAAATATTCCTGATAATCACATTTGTGATTGCCTCCAGAGTGATTCTGCTTTAGTCTTTACACCCAGTAAATCCTAGCTAACTCAGCAGTCTAATTCTACTTACGACAGGTATTGTTTTAAAAGACGTGACTCAGATATTGCTGCTCACTGTGTGATGCTGCTGGACTGATTTTCCACAACTATGTACTTGCATTTGGTGAGTGATAATTTGGAAAAGACAAAATATATGAAAGAAAGCCCTAAAATATATCAGTGCTCTTATCTGTCTGAGCGTTCTTTCTCTGTGGCTGTCTCCAAGTTTCGGTCCCTCACCCATGGTGTCCCGCAAGGTTCTGTGCTGGGGCCTCTACTTTTCCTTCTCTATCTGCTTCCTCTTCAGCACATCTTTAGCTCTTTTAAATGAATCTTCTACCATCTTTATGCAGGCAACATCCAACTGTACATCTTCTTTAAGCCCCATGAGATTTCTAAGCTGCAGCTGTTACACATCTGCTAGACCTGGATGTCTGGGAACTTTCTACAGCTGAATGAAGATAAGACTGAGATCCTCATCTGTTCTTTGGACAAGCTGGTTCCCAAAGTCAGAGACTCTCTAGGTTTGCTTTCTTCTCATGTCAAACCCTCTGTCAGGAATCTTGGTGTGACCTTTGACCCAGTTCTCTCCCTGGATTCTCATGTCAGTTCTCTTGTTCGCTCTTCCTTCTTCCGTCTCAGTAACATTGCTAAGCTGAGTCCCATTCTGTCTCACTCTGAACTTGAGACAGTTATCCACACCTTCATCTCCTTGCGCTTAGACTACTGTAACTCTATTTTCACGTGTCTGAGCAAAACCTCCCTGAACCGTCTACAGGTGGTTCAGAATGCCTGTGCTCGGCTTCTGACCAAGTCCTCCAAATACACCCACATCACCCCGCTTCTCCTCCAGCTTCACTGGCTGCCTGTCAACTTCAGGGTTCATTACAAGATCCTGGTTCTGGTCTATAGGGCCTTACATGGACAAGCACCATCTTACATTGGTGATCTTCTCAGTCCCTACACCCCCAGCAGGTTCCTGAGGTCCAGTGATCAAAGCCTATTGGTTGTGCAGCACCAGGCTAAAGACCAAAGGTGACGGGTCATTTGCTGCTGTGGCCCCCAGACTCTGGGACTTTCTCCCCCTGAATCTTTGCTCAAAAGGTGGGGATTCTGGACATGTCAGAACTTGTCAGGAATTCTGTCCTGTTATTTGACCCTCAGCAGTTTTCTCAGGCATCTCAATTGGAGATGATTAAATATTTTTACATGGCACTGGTATTTTGTCAAGTTTCACACCAGAATTGGTAATGTGACAAGATTGTACACCTTCAACTTCATCTTCTGCTTGATGCAATTCCTCACCTACATGAGTCATGTAGACGTCCAAAGGCTGTACTGGTCTTGACGATCTGGATGTTAATTTCATCATCAGTGTGCACAGCATGACACAAGGAAGCTTCCAAGTTGGGCAAACTTGTCAGCAGCTGGGAGTCAGTGATGGTGGGCTCCATGTAGTGTTTCCTGTGAGATGTGGGTCAATATCTGATAAGTCACCAACTTTCAATTGTAGTTGATAATATAGTGTAATGTGATTGTTTCGATTTTGGAGGAAGTATCCTGGTCTATAATGTGATGAAAGGAAGTTAGGATGGTTTATCAAAAAGGAAAACTGTTGGTTATATTCACTATTTGATGTTAAAAAAAACTGGCTTTAATGTTTAAGGATTAGCAGATTGTCTCCAGTTATTTTATAGATGTCAGGTGAAACAGCCTAGATTTTTAAAAGCCAACTTTCTCCAAGAAATATGCATATTTTATATTTACAGTGCTTAATCAGACTCAACAGTTTAAATGTGTCAGATACTTACAGAAAATGTAAGTATCTGAGGCTATGTTGGACAAATCTGATTTTAAATCCTCTGCACTAGGGCTGCATAATATATAGCAAATATATCGTTATCGCGATATCAGCATGCACAACATGCATATCACAAAGAACAGATAAATATCGTAATGAATGGTCAGCTCAGATGTTTGCTACAGATAATGCATTCTGTCAGTCAAACGGAAGCATGATATTCTTTTAACAAATCAAATAGAGCTCTTCACCCATTTGGCCAATTGGGTGGGTTCTCATAGGTTAGATGTCCGCCCCTGAGGTGGACGGCACTTAATTTTGATGGTTAGCAAACACCTGAGTTAGCATTGGTCTGCTCTTTCTGCTGATTCTGCTTTTCTTGGGATCCACTGATTGCCTTTTCTTGTTCATTTTCCTTTTCCATTTCCTGACATTTTTGCTTTTCTCATTTGTATGATTTTTTTGTCATTTTCTTTCTTTCTTTGTTTTTGATTATGTTCCTGAGTTAAGTTTGTGTTTGTCGCACGTAATATCATCATCACAATATTATCATCCATCCATCCATACAGCACAATATCTCAATCCAAAATGACTTCCTATCTCTGGCTCCTTCAAAGACAGTTCGAAATCTGGGTGTTGTGATTGATGAACACCTGACCTTTAAAGATCATGTTGCCTCTGTTGCCCGTTCATGCCGCTTTGCGCTGTATAACATACGAAAGATCAGACCACACCTAACACAACATGCCACCCAGCTCCTGGTGCAATCTACTGTCATCTCCCGCCTCGATTACTGCAATGCCCTTCTAACTGGTCTTCCAGGCTGTACTGTGAGACCTCTTCAAATGGTCCAGAATGCAGCGGCGCATCTGGTCTTCAATCAGCCAAAAAGAGCACACGTCACCCCTCTGTTCATTGAGCTCCACTGGCTACCGCTAGCAGCACGCATCTAATTCAAATTGCTAACACTAGCATACAAAGTCCTAGACGGTACGGCTCCCATCTACCTGAATCCTCTTGCAAAGGCTTACGTCTCGGCCCGGCCGTTCCGGTCATCACAGGATCGTCGGCTAGCAGTGCCTACACCACGCTCAGGACAATCCAGACTCTTCTCATGCATCGTTCCACAAATGTGGAATGACCTTCCAAGCACTACCAGAACAGGGGCTCCCTTTTCAATTTTCAAGAAACTCCTGAAGACCCTGCTCTTCAGAGAGCATCTTCTTAACTAGCACCCTCCCTGCACCCGTCCACCCTCTCTACTGTCCACTCCTTGTTCCCTCCTCTCCATGACTGATGTCAATGTTGTTGTTGTTATTGTTGTTGTTAGCCTCAAGGGCAATATGCCGATTATCACTTGTAAGTCGCTTTGGACAAAAGCGTCTGCTAAATACATAAACGTAAACATTATCACTGTTATCGCATATCGCAGGTTTTCCTAATATCGTGCAGCCCTACTCTGCACAAAAATATCCTTTGCAAATATCTGAGATCACCATATAGAAGTCACATAAAAAAACCTTTACTGACTTGTAATGAAATGAGATTTTAGTGTTAAAATGAGGGAAAATATCAAAATAACTTCTGTGATTAGAAAATGAAATCGACTGGACTCTTGAGGTATTTGTATTTGGTTTGTACCATTTATCCCATAGAAAAATAAGCTTCACTGAGAAACAATTACTTAATTATTTTTAAGTGATCCATTACTCAAACTTTTTCATGCAGGCAGAATTTGAAATTGTGTTCTACATTTATTTCCTGCATAGTTTCTGATAGAAAACGGTGAAACGCTAGGATTTGAAAAGTCTGTCAGAGCTTCGTCACACTGTCACTTACCATGCATGGTCTCACCCATCTAGACTAGTGATGGGAAGGTTGTTGTTGGTTAGCATCCAGGAAACAGCAGAGAACGTCTGGACTAGTAGATGCAAACCATTAGCATAGCAACACACAGCAGAATTCCTTCAGCCTTGTGTTTTTCATGGGGGAAAAAAATCTGCGTTGCAGAGCAAACAGAGTCAGTGGTAGCGTTGCGTTGCTGTTATCCAATGGAGATTAGATGTCTGAATATCAGGAAATAACCCGACTTACAAGGCATTATTTCCTACTAGAGACCACTGAAAATGTATTAAATATGTGAGTAATGATCCTCTTAAATGGTGAATAATGGTGATAGTAGGTTTTTATATTGGATGTAAAGATATCATGGAGAGAGAGAGAGGCATCTGACTATTATCCAAACACATCAGGGCCTTTTGACTTTGCTGCCCTTTGACAATTACTCAGATCATAATAGGTGGTGTAGACGGTTAAGCCATGGTGTTGACCTCAGTTGATAATGTCAATAACACCTAGTGTTTGCTATTGATTCAGTGTGTGTGTGCTGAGGTTTGAACTAAGTACATTGATGGATTTTCTAGTTCATGCAGTGGTTCAGCATGTAAGTCATATGACCACATCTGAGTGTTTGATCAGGTGAGATTCCTCAATGGGAAACTTGGTGTTGAGTTTGAAGTGGACGTCTCCCCCTGTGATCCTTCTAGCTGTGCCTCATATGTGGATCTTTTCTGCATGCTGTCATCCCCACAGTCTCAATTCTCAGCATCTTTAGAAACCTCAAACTTTTCCGCTACGCATTTCACAAATGGATCCCTCTCATCTTTAGAATAACGACATTTGTTTTCATACACTCGTTTTTGCTTGTGTCTGACATTTTTAAGGCATTGCTCTGAAGTCACAATGTCAAATATGAAATGTAGTGGCAAAAAATGTGAAGTTTACTAAAGCTGCTTCCTATTAACTCCAAAAAGACACGGGGTGTGATTAAAACAGAAAGCACAAAGAAAATGAGTGCTAATTACAAATGATTGAAATATAGATGAAACAGTGTTGTTGAAAAGAATGGTACTGGTACAAAAGAGAGACAATGGTAAGTAAAAATAGACACGAACATGGACAGAAATACAAAAAGACAATTAAAACTAGAGAACCTAAATGTCAAGATGTTGCAGTTTATAGCTGAAGTGCTAAGTT